TCTCCTATTACACGTATCCTCCGGGACAAAAACCAACTTTTTTCGATAATTTGTCAGTCAAAAATACGACACGAATATTGCCCATTCTGGACATTCTTTCCTTTATATCTTACTTCACGTGCGTCGGAGAACTGCGCATTTCACATCATTCGCATAAGTCAGTGACGTGCGTCTACTCTAAAATTTGCCTAAATTTATGACCACTCCTTCTTGGTGTCATTTTCAATGTCAAGCAGTGTATATACAATTTTTAAAAATACACGAGTATTTTATTTACAGATTTACAGACACAACAAAGACAAAAGCTTACAAATTTTTAAACATTCCTTGAAGCATTTGAAACTTGCACCATCTTTCAAATACAGCTGTGTTTCTTTATTTTATGCTTCTTGGACAATATGCCTGATGTCCAGCAGAAATGCAACGTGTTGTTATAAGGTATATCTGCCCTCTCCCTCTAAAATATAATGGTAGCATGACACTGGAGAAATTAAAGAAAAAAAAAAAAAAAGCTCCACAGACAAAACACCCATTTCACAAATGTAATACATTATCTCAATGAAATAATACAAAGAAGGCATTTATATATGATATTTGAAAAGTGTATAATTCTCCTGTTAGCAGGCTTTTTGACGAAATCTTGAAAATTTTAAACCATTTCTTGAAGCACCTGAAACTTGCATTGTTTAGTGGCTAACTGCACAAAGAAAAAATTACATTCTTACTCTGTGGTCAACAATTAACATATGTCTGATAACCAGTAGTTGTAGTGATAGCAGAACTACAACATATCATTATCAGACATATTTCCGTTTTCTCATTCTCTCATTTTTTGCTTTTAGATAGTCTATGGAAAGGAAAGATTTCAGATACTAGCAACTGTATTTTTAAAAGCCAGTATACTGATAAGGGATGCTGACTGTTTAATTAATAAACCTGGATTTGAATTTCAGAAAGGGCAGGGATGTTCGTACGTGTATGAGAGTGTCTGTGTGGTAAGGCAGCACTCTAAATACACAGCGAGGTGAAAGTCCTCTCTTGAAGCTGACAGAGAAAGAGATGTAGGAGACCCCCCCCCAGACTGCCTTCATGCTATTCTCACTCAAAATTGGGGCAGAAGAACGCAGTTAGTGCTGCAGCACCAGTAACACCAATGGTGAAAATCTGATGTTCTGCCTACTTCCACCTGTATTTGCATTTTAGATGCAAATAATGAAATATTTAAATCCATAAAATCATAAAAAACATTAAGAATAAATTAGGTTATATATGTTATGATAAAATATATGAGGGCTATCTGCCTTAGGGAACAGATACATTCATGAAGAGAATTGGCTCATAATCATGTTGCACATGGTAAAAACCATAAAAATTAACTGAGATTTACACCAAGAAAAAACTACCAGTGTTTACCAATCTTACCATTTGGCTGCTGGTAGGCAAAATGCTAGCAATAAGAGAAATGCAATAAGAGAAAATCATAAGAAATATGTTGTAAATTGGGGTGACAAGAGTTTGGTTAAAAATCATGATAGCATCTCTGGACTACTGAAATAATTAAAGTACGTTAAAATAAAAATAATGTTGATTTTGCTATATCTGTAAATTCATCCAAGAGGCTAAATAAGAAACTTGCATCCATTTTAACTACAGTATTTGTTCCATATTTTAAGATATCCACTCTAAGACTAACATATGATGATTTAATAAAAGAAACAGCAAATACATGAATCCAACACATGACAATCTTTTGAAAATATTCAGTAAAGAAAACAAAATTGCAGTACACTACACAAATGATGCAAGTACAGTTTCTGGGAGAATGAGGATGCATTCAGTAATTGCAATAAATGTGCTAAAAACTCTCAGAATATTGTTCACAACTGTGCATGCAGTGATATTGATCAAATGTATTATATTACAGAATTCTGTGCAATTACAAAATACATGCATTTTTACATTTACAGTAAAGACAAAAAAAAAAAAAAAAAAAAAAAAAAACAGTCCCACAATATTACACAATTTTTACGCCTGCTCTTGACTCCGCAAATGACTCTTTTGATCTGGATAAGACTGGGATCTTATTTTCTTTCCCGATGCGAAAATTTTTGAAAAATGAAGATTTTTTGAAAATCAGTTTGCTGAATTATTAGCTTCATGAGTTTATGGTAGCCTTCCCAGACTGGGCAATTAAGTTTCCCAATTGAGCAAAATGGTCATTTCAGCAGAGAAGTACTTATATTTAAAAAAATTTTTTGCGTGAAATTTACTGTTTGTTTGAAAATGAGGGAAAGCATTCTCAAAAATAAATTACACGTTTTCTTTGAAAAGATTAATTGGGATTTTATGCTTTAGTGATTACATGTTGAAAGCACTCTCAGAATTAGTTAATTCAGTATTATTTCTGAAAAAGGACTTGTGGAAGTAGATGTATGTTTATTGTGTTTTAATTATAAAAATAATATTGTAAGACAAAAGAGCAAAATGTCAATGTTGTTAACTTTCAGCTTGAGGACTTCAAAATTAAAAAAAATATGAGTGAATATAAAACTTCAATAATCTTTTTTTTTTTTTTTTTTTCTTTTTTTTTTTTTTTATTTTATTTTTATTTTTTTTTTTTTTTTTTTTTTTTTTTTTTTTGTCAATGACAACAGCCCCACCTGAAGGACTTTTTTCTCTGATGGACAGTGTTTGTTCTCTAATAAAAAGAGGCAAGAAAAATTGTTGTTGAGTCCATATTTCATGGAAGATCAGTTGCAGAGACATTCGAGGAGGTCAGACTTCTACTTACACCCCAATTTTGAAGGACAGCCCCCTGGGGGGGGGATCCAGAGGTCTCCCATCCCTCTCGCCTGCCACCAAACAAGACGGTTGATCTTTACATTATGGTAACTTGGCGATTTTTTGGCGAAAATTTGGCAACCAACTCTCCTACAGCAACCCTCTATTTTTTTCCCTGCCGTCATTTGTCTTCACGAAGTAAAGACATGTTTTTTTCTTTTTATCTACTGAACAACTTCTTCCTACAATCTAGTAGCCGAATTACACTTATGCTAGAAAATTTTATCAAACAAAACTGCTTAATCATGAAAATATTCACTGCAAAATTGGGGAAAAAGTGCACAATACCATACTCCTTACGCGTTTTTCAAATAAACACATACAACATAAACCATGTACACGCCGACTTATTTTTACTTAAAAAAAAACATCCCAGAATTGCGCACAAAATGGCATTGCGCACACTCTTCACTATATCCATGTACACTGCTTTTTTCTCATAAATTAGAAAAATTTCACGAAAATACATGACAATTTTCTCCAATCTTTAAACCCGGTAAAAAGAACATATATGAAATTACCTGATCGCAAAAAAGTATTTACCCTTTCCAAATATGAACATTTCCACATATAAAATAAATAAAATATCCAAAAACTTTTACCTCTCTCATCTATTACATTATACACGTCATCAACGAATTCATACCGCAAGCATTACAAATACTTAGTGTCAATATTTAAAATTTCCATGCACGTTTACTTCAACTTAAATGTATACCAATCCTACAAACATCAAATTCACAAAATAACTATCATTCTTAAAATTATTTAATTCAAAAACACTACTTAAAATATAAATGAGCACATACATTAATTAAAAAAATTACCTTACAATCCTAATTACTTTAAACTAAATCATTGCTAATAACAATTTTCCCAATAAACCAACTTCCTTTCCACCTACATTTAACAATGCATAAAAATAATCCTCAAATAATTAAAATACTAACTTACCTAATCTTCTTCAGAATCTTGATTACGGCGGATACACTTTTCTAATTCCATTCAATAAAATTATGAAAGATTTTTTCTGCGAATTTTTTTCCTCCATACTCCTCCGCTAATAAAAAGCAACTTCTCTTTATCACAATGCCTATACCCATTTCGAATTCACTTTTTTAGGGCCATGGGGCCAAAAATTAAACAACCCGTTTCACACAACAGAATAAAGCTAATAAATTTCCACATTTTTTTCCCGATTTCCCCCCTTTCCGTTAAAGAACCGTATTCGTCCATTAATATCACGACACCCATGATCTCTTTTCCTCACGAATAATGCGTAATCGAACTGAGTACTGCTCACATTATTACCAAAGTCCCAGGTAGTAACCTTTATCTCCTCCAAAATGTCGCCAAACTACCAGTTACCATATTGTAAAGATCAACCAAGACGACTTTTGGTTCACCACATGTGCCCCCATGTCACAAAGATACTATATATTTACAAACATATATGCTTTCTCCGGGATTTCAACCTTGACCCTTCAGTATCGCAGTAGGCTCCCCTAACCACTATACCATGTAGGTGGCACTCAACTGAAATTATTCCCTTAAATAAAAATTAAAGGCTCAAAATTCTATAACAAATTAAAAAACCACTTTATCCTGAAATACCAAATAAACATTTCATTTTTCCTTACAGTTTTGTTTGTCCATATATAGCAACTGTATTTCAAATATTTTATTAGCACTCGTAAACACAGAAAAAAATTTACTTTTATGTAAGACGGTGAAATAAACCTTTAAGAAAACTTTCCTTCTGTATTTTATAATTTTATTTTTATTTTTAGAATTTAGACAATAATCAGACACTGCAACAGCAACTTAAACTGTAAACATGTTCAAAATATAAAAATAAGAATGCAATAAATTATTAAATAAAGAACTAAAAATTTTGATGACTTAAGATGTAGTAATTAAATTAGAAATCAAGAAAAATATAAACTGTTTCGAAAAAATTATTTAGAAGTACACTAAACAGTTCTCTCATAAAGTACGATGTTAAAAGTTTCCCATTCAAATAAATCTCTCAGATTAAATAAATGAATAAAATAAAATAAAAAGTACGTCATTTAATTTTGCAAAGATTCTACGTAATTTGCGGACAACAGCAACTGCAAACTAAGAAAAATAAAAGGTAAATAAAATTATCATCTTACCTCTTTTAAAAAGGTAATGAGATTCAAAACTTCATTTTGCATATGAGGTACGAGCTGATTGCCTTTAGTTAAAATAGCAGAAAATTCTGTTTCCATATCACAATTTAAAGATTCAAATTAATGAAAAAAACACCTCAAAAATCAAGATTAATCACATATTAACACAGATACCAATTATTCAATAAAAAATTTCCAAACAACCGTAAAGATTTTTCGCACAGCTTAGCGTTTGTGTACAATATCTACTCAGATAAATACAGCTTCTCGGTTTTGACACTGATATTAATCTAGCAAAATCTTTCTTCAGTATAATTGAAAATATTTTCGAATTGAATGAGATTTATTCTTAAATCATTTTAATCTATTAAGATGAATCATGCAAATTATACATCCTTTTGATAGTGAAATTCCATAAGCGCTAAAACTATATAACAGAGGCGATTTAGACACTTTTTCTTTGATTTAAATTTTTCTAATAGTTTTGTAGAAAAAATATCAAAAAAGATATTTATTATTGTTTCATTTTCGATATCGGAAATTACATATTGGCAGCAGCTAGAAACGCAATGATTTGTTACGTAACAAGTGGTTCCAAATCTGAATTCCGTATTTTGGGATTAAATTGAATAATAGATTTTATAAACAGTACGATTTATTATTCTGAAACTTCAGTTAGAGAATTTTAAATGCTGTCTCTTTTTCAATTGCTTTCTACTAAATATGGTCAACTGGCTAAAATTTTACCTGTCACGTAGAATACCAGGTATGTGGATCTTAAATTATTTTATTTCTAAATAATTGAACTGATCTTAGAAGTTTTATAGTCAGAATAAGTTAACAGTTTTCATAAATTCAAATATAAATAATTTATGATGTATGAAGCATTTTTCTGCTTTCGATTTATATTCGGAATAGTTTTCTGTGAGTATTTTAATTTAATGGTTGGAATAAAAACGTGAAGTAACGTTATAAAATTGTGGCAAAATTCTCCATTTTTTAATTTAGAACAGCCACAATGCAGAATATATGTTCAAAATATATGAATTATCATTTAAATAGATGCATATTTTATTTTTATAGGAGAAATTAAAATTATCTCTTTAATGATGCAAATGTATTACTGATACATCAGTGCAAGGATGGATGATGTGATTTATGACGCATAACTTAAAAAGTTATTATATGCTAAACACAAGTTCGTATTATACTAATTCAAGGGTGTTACAACAAATCAACATGATAGGTTTTAAATGAGGTAAAATCTCAGTACAGACATAAATACATAAAGCACACATAAAAACTAATTAAGCGATTAAAAACCAAAACCAATCAAATTAAATGATAAAAGCCACTTTCTCTGAAATACTGAAATTAATTAAAATTATCGTCTTATCCGATTACGCGGCAAGAGGTATGTCAGAGCTATTAAAATATTTGGTAAAAATATATATTATTAGCGATTGGCCAGCAAGGCACAATCTCAAGATAGCCGCTGCATGAAACCAAAATAACACGTCAAAGAATTACACAAACTCAATGTCCATGTACGCATCGATCTATTTTCACTTAAAAAAACATCAGAGAATTGCACCATCTCGACATTTACTTTGTCCATGTAAACATCAATCTATTTTCACTTAAAGAAAATCAGGAGAATGATGACATCATATAATGTTAAAACAGTTACTCATCACCAAAATTTGTAGCCAATCGAAGCTCAATAAACTGCATTTTAAATCACACAATGAAATAAACTTAAAAGAAGTTATTTTTCCACTTTTGCGGCGCAGCCGTTGGCGGCCCGGGTTAAGCTGCCAAATGGAATATCCCCGGAATTTCCCCAGCATTTCAAACAGGCCCATTTCTTATTGAATTAATCGTTTCTTTCAATACTGGCATATAATTGCATAGAATTTTTACCAGATAGTTCAATTTTATGTTCTAAGGCCATTCGCAGTAAGTAAGTCAATTAGGATATAACTTCGCTCACCCGAAGGCGAAAATATAGAAATGGCAAAATTAAATTCATCAATTCTAATGAGAATGCATTAGGGAAGTAAAGCACTGTGGTTTTACATAATTTCTGACTAAGCTATTCATAGGAACTGGAATAATTCTTGCATTTAAACTTGTATTCCATATTAAGATTTAATTTTAAATTAACATAATTACTGAGAGAATTAGATTCTTTTAGTGCAGTTTATGCAAGATGAAATCACTTGGGATGTTGTACTATGAAAGCATATTAAATTCTTAAATTAACATCGTTTTACTAATATGTCAAAAGTGGATGAAAAACCAATGGAAATTTAGGATTTGTCCAGAACAGAGGAAGAATTTATCAGATTGTTTCAAGCAAAAGGGCTTATGTCTAAAATTGCTGCTTGTGATAATAATCATAAAATGTAATTATATTTAGGAGATGAAATTCAATGGCACTGCAACCTCTCAACTTGTCGTAGTAAAAGAAGTATACAGAAAGGCATATGGCTTGAAGATTGAGTTTCTTGAAGTGTATGAGCTTTATTTATGGTTGGAGTGAAGAATTAACTTCAGTTATATGGTGTGAAAAGTAGTTGGAAATCAGACACGAAACAGTTGTGGACTGAAATAACTACATGCGAGAGGTTTGTGTGGATTCTTTGCTTAAATGTCAACAGTGGAAAATAGGAGGACCTGGTATGATCATGGATGAAAGTATGCTCACGAAATGCAAAAACAGTCTGGGACGGATTCTACTGTAATAGTGGATCTTTGGTGGAGTTTGCCGTAAAGCAAACAAATGTTTCCTTTTGAAGATGCTAAACTGATCCATAAGAATTATACTAGAAGCAATAAAGGAAAGCATCGAAAAAAGAATTACAATATATTCTGATTCATGAAAATCACATTGCACTGAAAAACTGGAAGAAGAAAATACAAACATTTCAAAGTTAACCATAAATAAAATTTTGTCGATCAAAAAACTGGAACACACAAAAAATTAAAAAACTAGTGCCAAATGGTGAAATAAGAAACACAGAGGAGCTTAACCTCATCATCTGGAAAGTTATCTCACTGTATGTATGTGGAGAAGGTAAATAAAATACCCATCTGAAAAAAAATGTTAAACAATATTAAAATGTTTATGCCTCCAAAGTAAAAAAGTTTGTGTATCACTGTGTGTTGTCGCCAATAATGTCTGCTTGGCGAGATTTGCGGCGGCGAAATGAAAATGTACCAAAAGGAAATGCAGTCAAAAGTCTTTAATCCGGACTCGTTGGGACTTCGGCGATTCTGGATTATGGGTTTTTCCGGATTATAGATCATCAATGGCATGCAGAAATTTTAAAATTTAAAATATGAAAGCGTAATTTATAAATAAGAGATTATATTAAAGGGTATCAAAATAAAAAAAAAAAAAAGCTTATATTTATTGTTTTAACTTTATAACATTTTCTTTCATATACGTGCATTCGTAAGTAACTACGCAGTTGAAATTAGAAAATTGCGACAGAAACTATTGATGTGTATTCCTGATATTTATAATGACGAGTAAATTGATTTAAATCATATCCTGATGGAGTACATCGGATGATACTACAGTTATAAGGAATTTCTAAGCGATAAATAAAACATCTGCCCCTGAAGATAAGGATAGTGCTACGGATCAACTTCCAGTTCATTGCATCCGCAATGCCCCCCCCCTTTCCGCAAGCAGCGAATTTGAAACAATTTCGAATGGTTAGAAAACAAAGATATGCCTTTATCCATTTTTTTGCAGCAATTTCCACTTTTTGTTTGATGGACATCGAAATATTTTTTGCTTTGTAGATCCTTTGGCAGCTTCAGCATGAGAAATTCTATTGAATAATCGAAGTTCAAGCTTTACTTTTAAATTGCTTCTAACATCTTGCAAAAAAAAAGTGGATCCAGCTCAAAGTTAAGGAACTCATCTGCAACATTAACTAAATAATATCAAAATTTTAGCTTTAGCTTACAACCGTTTTTAGACATTAAATGCGCATGCGTTAATGTATTAAGTGCACATGCATATGTGCATGCGTAAAGGTATTACGCACATGCATAAGCGCCTATGCACATGCGTGAATGCATTATGCGTTGACGCATGCGCAGAAAGTTTGTAGCTTTGAGATCCGGTTTATAGATCATTATTCCGGGTTATAGGTGTCCGGATTAACGACTTTTTACTGTATATGTTATTGCATAAACACACTACAAAAAGGAAATATTGATTTACCATATTTTGATATTTCTGTGTATTCAGTCACAGAATTTCACGCAAAATTTCTTAACTCCGGTTTCCGCATCCTTAAATATCACTGCGTGATTTACTAAGAAGTGAACGAAGCCATTATCAAAAAGACAATCATATTACTTCCAGCAGTTGGATATGATCGTTGTTCCAAGTAAAATATTCCATTAAATTACATCCAACGAAGTTTTTTTAATTCTGTCCTCAATCACTTTAAAAAAAAAAAAAAAAAGGCCTTCCGCTCTCTCATTCTGTTTCATCAAACACCCAGTTTACCATCGGCAGCCATTTTACGATGCAAAGCACAAAATATGCAACATACTTCCTAATTAACATCCAACACAGAAATAAGCCCTTACAGATATTTTCCTATCAGTCAAATTCACGGTAATCATGCAACCAGTCACCTCATAATAGTGTTTCCATAACATTCAACTTTTCAGGTTACCATAAATGAAGCAACGACTTGGCGATAATCCAAGAGGCACACTAAAATATAGACTAACCACTGAAGTGTTGCATTTTTTCAGAAATATGGCATTTTCCCTACTAGTCGTAGAGTGTAGAAATGCACATCTCATGAAGTTGTATTTTATAAAGGATCGTATTGTGTGAGTTATACTGGGGAATTCATTTGAAGAAAATGTCGGGAAGGAAAGACGGCTGATCTTTGGAATATGGTAACAGGTAGTTTGGGCGCTTTTGAGGCATAAAGTATACTACTTAGGACTTTAGTAATAATGTGAGAATACTCAGTCCGATTATGCATTATTTTGTGTGAGGGAAATGAGAGATCATGAATATGTCATGTGATTAATGGACGAATTACAGTTCTTTATCGAAAGGGGTAAATTTGGAAAAATTTTATCTGGATTTCGGATTTAAAATAGCAGTAGTACTGCGCCGATTGAAACTCTTCTGTAGGAATTGCATGCCACTTAATGAAGATTCTGAAGAATTAGTTA